AAACTTCCTGTTTATGTTGTGTTAAAAAAGAAAGCATAACAGGAGCATGTTGATCTCATAGCTCTGGCATGATTATTGTTAGGCAGAGCATCTTATAGTTGTCGCTTGACTAGAATAACGTGTGGTGGAGCTCATATAGCAAAGTTATGCATTCTAAATGTAGCACCTGCTCATTATGTAAGGTTTTCTTTAAAAGAAGCAGTAAAGATAACTTACAGAGATACAGTCCAAGCTGTTGTCTTTTCTAAATGCACGACCAGCTTGTTCTGATTCCCAGGAAACTGAGAAACGTGTGTTGTTCTTTGAAAGTCACTGACATGTCTCAGTTATGCAAAAGCTTCCCTTCGGTGGTGGGTTAGTAAGATTGGGTTGTAAGTTCCAAGTGTAGAGTCCAAACAGGAGGTGAACCTTGTGGCTAAGAAACCTGTGATTTATGCTACTGTCGCTTATTCAGCCTCCTAATGTGGCCTTGGTAGGTCTCTAAAATGTGACCGTTATCTCTCAGCTGCCTATATTGCAGTTGGTGCTGCATCAGAGGTACAGCATTAAAAGCAACCTTGTTTTTACTGATGAGGCACTAACAAAATGGCATTTTATGATGCCTCTTGACAAGAACGCATGTGTGTGAAAGAAACAAAATATGACAAGGGTTCACACTGAGAGCATTGAAGTTACATGGTGTATGTTTTAACCACTGCATTACTAGAAATCCCCTAAGTTGCAAGATTACGTCGAGGATTTTTTCAACGTGCTCTGATCCCATTTTTTAGATGCTAATGGTGTTGCAGAAACACCAGTGGCTGTGGTGCACTGACGGCAAGATGTCCGTGCCGCCAGTGCACCACAGCAATACTGAATGCTGAGAGACAATAGTTGTCTTACAAGAGTCCATGAGGAGGTTGGTAAAGTGGCTGGTAGATAATTTAATTCAGACCTTTGTGTTTTGTGTTGTTTTTTACTTTTTCTCTCAGTTGCTGCATAGTTTTAGGCTATGACTGGGAGGGGTTGAAGTATTCCACTTTATGAAATTAACTCTGCTCTGCTATTAATTTTGGCACTTTGTTTAAATGTGATGCAAAATAGGAGGTAATCCCACCTCACTCTGGCCAGAAGCCAGGCTATACAGCAGAAGACGCAGCTGTGGGATTCTAATGGAATAGACAATGATTATATATCACTGCATAAGTCAATGAAATGAAATGTTTGAGTAACAGTACACTTTGAGCAAGAGCAAGTTGTGTTTCTGGCCACCCAGTGAATCGAAGTGCAGATTATGTCGAATGTTATTTTTCTCTTTTAGCACTGTTTCCATTTTTCCTCCACAAAACAGCTGCCCTTTTAGCTGCTAAATACCCCTATATATTAACCAGAAAGTCAATAACTTTGTCTTACTTCTGTTTGGTGCAAAGGAACTAGTCTGTACTGTGTTTCCAAAGCTTTTTAGTTTAGTCCCACTAATAGAAGCAAAGAACGTGAGAGGAGTGAGAGTGAACAAAAACAATAAGCTAAAAGACACAAAAAAGACTCCACAAACCTGAGATGGTGGTGTGCAATCAAAGTACCCTGAAAGCTGTTTTCCATGTCTTTTACCCACCAGATCTACCCAGATGAGGGACACTTCCTGTCTCAGCAGAGTCGTCAGCACCTCTACACCACACTGTCCAGTTTCTACAGGGAGTGTCTGAAGGAGGAGTTGCTACCACTACCCGATGAAGAGGAGGAAGAAGAGGAGTAGGAATGTGTCTTTGGGAGTCAGACCTTTGGCAGAGCTTGAAGAATTTTGCTGAAATCCGTCAAGGCCTTTCGTGTTTGGACCAAGTGTTTAGCCAGAAAAGGACACTGGGGTAGAGCTGCTGATGCTCCCAAAGTGTGTATGTGTGCGTGCGTATGTGTGTGTGTGTATGAGCACTCCTGTGTGTGTGTCTGTGTATGTATAAATGTGATGAAAAAGATAGCTAAAGGACACAACAAGTGACGCTCGCATTGCCGGGGTTGAGGCGCGAACTGCCGTCTAGCATAGAGTCATTTCAGTTTTGGGACGCTCAGTTTCTCGGCAAAGCACACTGAAGATGTGCTGCAGGTTCTCCGAGCTGCAGTCATTCACACTTAACCAAGTGCATGGTTCTTTTCCCCCCCTTCGCCTTTCAGCTTCACTCATTCTTGCCATGTCAGTCTCCTTTGTGGTACTGCGACACTTTGGAAGACAAGAACACCAATATACACCTTTGATCTCACCTCTCTTTTGGTTGTTGTATCGTTGCACAAGGAAATGCTCCAGTCATCTGCAAAAATGTTTAGTCACGCAAGTTCACTACAACCTGAGCAGATCCTGAATAAGTGCAATTTCCTGCTGAAACCCTCTGCCATCGCCCACCCTGAATGGAAACAGTGTTTAGAGGTCACACTTTATTGTACAGCAGTCTTGTGTAGACATGTACAATGCCTTATGAGGTTCAACATACTGTAATATTACTTGCTGGCAGTGGTAGTCATCCATTAGCAGTGTCATGTTAACCTATGTCAACTCAGGTCCTCGAGACACGGTGTTGCAGTCAGTTTAGAAACTCTTAAGTTTGGGATGAAGATAACAGGTTTATAGGCCATGTAGTAATTTCAGTTTCAGGCCACACTGAAAAAGTTCTCCATCTTAATATGTGATTTGAACCCTTAAATCAAGTTGCACAAGTTTAAAAAGGTGTGAGATCATTTTCCAGTGCATCTCCACCAGAGTAAAGAACCATTTCGCGTATTTTTGGACACTAAAAGACATTCAAAAAAATGTGGGAAACAGTTAAAAGTGGCTGAACTAAGATGGGGAATTTTACAGTGTCAGTAAGGTGTTTGCATGTCTACAGGGAATGTGTCAAGTGTTGCCACATTTTGTACAGTACAATACAGCAGAGTGTGTACATAGATATATTTTTAAGATGTCAGATCTCATAGAAAGTTTAGTCTATGGGGATGGATTGATTTGACCTGGACGTCTTGTACTTTCATTTCTTTTCTGTTTTCTTTCAAGCTGTTGATTTTCTTCTTAGGATGGATTTTGTAATGCTTGTTCTCGTTCTTTTTGCTGTTTTAAAAGGGAAGGGTTGAGGGTTGAGGTTTTGGGGTTATTGTGATTGTCCTCTAGTGATGATTATAAATAATAAATAATAATAAAAAAGGTAAAAAAAAAAACTCTACACAAAAAAACCCCTTTGAGTTATTCTGGTGGATTGAACACAAATAACAGAGAACCAAATCGGCTGCATTTGTTTGCAGGACTGAGCAATTCAATCTAAAGTTTCATTTGTTTGTTACCTTGGCAGTCACATTAAAGAGACCCAGTCATCTGTCATGGCCATGGGCTACCTGCATTAATGATTTAGCAGGCAAGATCTTCTTATTTAAAGTCAAACATACTTGCATCAACACTGCATGTCTGTGTGCATTAATCACTGCCTGCACTTACAAGCCTGAATGAGCAAGCAGATGTTAATTCTTAAATTTGTAGTAGCCAGAGTTAGGTGGTGTTTATCATCTTGTCTAATAGCAAAATGTGTAACAGCTATGGTGGTTCAGAGCTCAAAACAGATATTATTGGTCGTTTTTTAAGGAGGAATGCATCAACATGGCAACCTAGCCAGATGGAAGATGTTGTGAAAAGGTCTATTTTAACACCAACAGTGATCAGTAGGTGTTAACTGACAAACAAATATTTCTCTTCTCTAAAAGTCCTGTTAGTCATCTCCTGAAGATGACGCTCCTAATGGAGACTTTGTTTTTCTTTCTTGTCTAATGAGAAAAAAAATCTTGATAACCACAAGATGTCAACGCAGATCTAAAGAAAATAATAGGACAACTGAACAAAGTCAACTCACAGTTTTAGATCTTTCAGTTCTAAAGTTACTGGTGACATGGTTACATTTGGGCTAACATCTACCTCTTTTTTTGGACTCTTCACCTGTTTGGTAAGCTTTGAAAGAAGAACTGCAAGGCCAAAATGCATTTATGACATTTTAAAAATTATAGTTTCTGGCTTCTTAAACTGGACTTTCTCCACGTGTCTCTGTGGATTCTCTCTGGGAAATCATGCTTTCTCCCACAGTCCAAACACATGCTCATTAGGTTAACTGGTGATGATTAATTGACTGTAGGTGTAAGTGCGATGGACTGGTAACCTGTCCAGGGTGTAGCATGCTTCTTGGCCTATGGCAGCTGGGATATGCTTCAGCTCCCAAATTGGAGAAGCATTTAAGAACAGTGCTTGGTTGCGTGGAACTACAAAGCAACAAGCCAGTGTTCTTCAAGTGGCATTCCAAAGCCCAGATAAATCGGGAAGGTTGGATCAGGAAGGGCATTCAACATAAAGTATTTGCCAAATCAAGAATACAGATCACAAAGATCAGTCAAGGCTTTAATTTTATTTATGTAGGACAAAATCACAACAACATTCCACAAGGCGCCTTCAAAAGATGTCAAAGACCCTACAACGATACAGAGAAAAACCCAAACAGCAAACGACCTCCCCTCTGAGCAAGGACTGGCCGACAGTGGCAAGGAAAAACTTCCTGTTTAAAGACACAGGAGGGGGTGAGGGTGTGTTCAAAGGCAGTGAGAGAAGACATGCAGAGGGTTAGTTTGAGCATTTTTAGCATTTGGCTAAAACACCACCAAAGTCTAGGCCTCACCCTAAAAGAGTAACAGAAGTTAAACATATACTGTGTAGAGGAGGAAAAAAAACCTTTTATACACATTCAATGACCCACTTTTAAACATCTCCAAAAAAAACCCCCAAACAATAACACTGCTCTTATCAGTCTGAATGTTACTCTCCTCAAACATTTTTTAACTTGAGAAAACAATCTGATCACAACATCAGTTTAATAACTGCAGCACATTTCCACCACATAATATGATGTTTTAAAAGTTCCCAGTGATTATCAAATTGCATTTTACTTGAATCTCCTTTCCTTACTAGTAATACTTTGAGAGGTGTGCTTATTTGCTTAACATTGTCACTGTTAGGTACTTTTGGCTTAAAGGTGATTTGAGCCTAAATCAGACTTAATCCAGCTAGCAAAGAGCTGTTACAGAAGCTGCAAATGAAACGGTGGATCTCTGCAGGATGCTGCGATATCTATGTTGATGAACTGTTACTTTAAATTCGGAGTAAATCTCCAAGAGTTTTACCTGCAAAGCCTTGTTCTCATTCAGTATTGGTCTCATATCTAAACGTCTCAGCTGATGTTTAGATGTATCGCTGGGAAGCATTGTTATGGATTCTCATTGGATGCGGCTAATTGGTAAATTTGTAGAACTGGTGCTTGTAATGAACATATCTTTTTGTGAGCACCACTCTTCCTTTCTAAAGGCAATACTCAGAGAGCCAGTCCCACCACATTTCTTGAAAATGTTCAGACTTTTTGACCTTCATGTCTTAAAGTAATGCTGGATCCATGTTTTTCTTTACTTAGTTGAATGGTTTAGCAGTGCTTTGTTAGTACAGCAACTGACACTATGTCAGCATAATATAACTGATGATAACTTATAAAAGCTGGAGAAAAAAACTTGAACTATTATGGAGATTCCCTACTCATCAGCTTTTAATCTGCATGCCATTTGCTATGCTTAGCACATCCTGACAGCTCTGTATGAGCCCCAGCTGCAAAATGTGTGTCGCTGAAGCAAAAGGGGAACGTTTCAGTGATCTATACTATACTAGTTACATTAGAGTGACCTTAGAGCTTCATGAATATATGCACTGTCAGCACTTTAAAATAAGCTATTAATGCAACACACAGATCTAAAAATGTCAAGTTTGTCAGTTTATTTGAGCGTACAAATGTTTCCAAGTATACAAATGTCAACTACAGAGGGCAGTATATATATGCTACATGAGATGCAGTTTGTCAGGCAAGTGTAGAAGTGTGAGCAGCACAGGGTTATGGTCAACAAACGATCAGTTTGCTACTGAAGGAAAGACGCAGTATTTATTACAGGAGTTCTGTTGTGGCCAAAGCGCACTGTACAGCATAGACTGCTTATCTTACACATGGAGTTTCTCCATTCTCCAGTTTAATTTCTTTTCACATTTTGTAATATTAAACACTGTGTGGAACAGTAAAGGTTCAAGCTGGTCACAAACATCTGAAATTTATTCATCTATTTCTAAAAACATAGATGAAGATATTGTTAAACTAAGAAATCTTCCCTGAACAACACAATTAATACTTGTAATATGTCACATGGCAATGTGCGCCCAAATAGCAGATTCATCTTGAACAGACACACAGGTTCCTTCTAACAAGGATAAAAGAAGAAATACAAAAAACTAAAAGTCACAGTAACTTCCTTTTTGAAACTTTCATATTAAAGGTTTTCTTTACCTGATTTAAACAGCATGGCTAAACCCCCTTTCACTCTCTGTTACATATTGTCATACGATATTTTTGTATTGCTGTGTTTGCCCGAAGCTCAGAAAAGACTATATGAGGTAAAGGCACCTGCAGGAACGGTTTGGTGATTCGGTCTAATAGTGATATGATTTGGTGGATTTATAGGTGATTTTTCTCTGTTCACAGAATGTATTCACATGAATTCACAGTCGATTTCAGGAAAGATACAAAAGAAATACAAGTTTCTTTGATTCCCTGACATTTGTATGCATTACATGGTACAAACATTCAAAACAGAACTCTTAATGGTAGTATAGTATTAACCTATCTTTTGTTTTTCCCCAGAACCTCAGATTCACTGCTCTAACTTTCTTTGCATTCCAACAAATGTGAAGGGACCTAACTTACATATTATAGGTCTGTAGGGTTTTATTAATTATCATTTTTATCAGGCAGCAGATGTTCAGGGAAACACAACCTCTCATCGTTGGCTCACGACAGCAGTTGCTCCAGCGCACTCTCCATAAAACCACCTTACCACAGGAGCTTACTTGGAGCTAATCATCTTCTTTGTACCCCTCCTCAAAGCAGCGGTTGAAAAAGTTCAGCACTGAGCTCAGAAAGTAGTGTTGACTCCTTACTGAAATAATGTTGTGTCCTTCATCTGGGAATATCTAGTCAGGAGGAAATGGAAAGAAACATAGAAATGATGTATATTCTAAGTGAAAGAAAGGAGTTCCAAAAACAAAATAAAACACTGCCTTGATATTAACATCATAGCACAGCCAACAAAACTACACCAGCAAATACCAGTTAGCAGTGGTAATAATCAGCTGACATTGATGAAAGACAAGAAAACAATGAAAGGATGAACTGGTGACAGTATGCTCTGATCTGCGGCTAAGGATCTCCTGCTAAGATCTTTTTGCCATATAGCACAGGGAACCTTCACTTGTCTTGTAGACTCCAACCATTGGATGCGCTCAAAGGACTAACATGCTAACACTATTAGGCAAGTGGTCATAATGAACTGACTAAGCAGGAATTGTGAGAGTTCAGGCTGGGCTACTTGTGTTTTCTCTTTACACATTTGAGCAGAAACTGTTCAGAGGTAACAACATAGCAAACATGCTCCAGTGCTATGATGTGGTCATCAGGATCCACACTCCGCACCACCCCAAATAAAATATGCAAATACAGTGACTATATGGAATCATTCTAAAGTGTATAAAGGAATGCAGACACTCATGTTGAAGAATACAATTACCATTAAAACTAATTAAAAAATTAAAGGAACACTTTTTAATCAGAGTTTAGCATCAGTTATATTTTATAACTTAACTTCGATATGATATTGATCTGATCAGTTAAGCAGCAGAGGGGCTGGCAATCAGTTTCAGCTGCTTTGGTGTTATTAAAAGCTCCTCTTGTGTAGCAGTTACTAGAGGGGTAACAATAAGAGAATGGGAATTAGAGAACCCCCAAAATAGTAATGGCTTTGCAAGTTCTTTGGGGGTTTTTTGCATTTGGCTAGCAGGGCACTGCTGTGGATGTATCTGACTAAACAAACAGAAACAGACTTTATGAGGGTGGGCTGGGGTACCAACATCTTCTAGTGGGCCCTGTGCTCACACCACAGAGACTGATTGGCATTTGCTACAGCATTCCACAATTAATAATCAGAATAAAAATCCAGCATGATTTTTCCCATGGGGATCTGAGGAGTTTTCAAAGTGTTGTGATTTTTTTGTACAATTTTGTTGAGCAGTGGGTGTTAAACATGACATGTCACCATCATGATCATGTTCGGGGGAGGAGCATGCATCTGAGAGCAGGGAGATGGGATATACATTTATTTTAATGACTTTACACCCTTCTGCTGGTAGAAATGAGAGAAACTTGAGTCCTAACATGAGTATACACCAAATTCCTTTTTTAGTATAAAAAGTATCTCAAAAGAACAAAAGTGTAGGGGTCTGAGCTGTACCATTAAGTGAGTTTTTATTTTAAATACCTCTTTTTAATTGGCTACATCACTGTGGTAGCCAGTTTAAAAGAGTGTATAACTTGGTCTGGAGCAGATTAAGTTTTTTTTTTCTTACAGTTTTCACTGCTTCTTTTCCAAAAGAACATAACATTACAAAGTAGCTGCCCTTTTACACCTTAGGCATACCTTACTAATGCCACTAAAGAAAGCTGTGATGGAAGTTACAGTAGTGTAGTGTAAGTCACAACGTCACATGAATGTGAACGCATTCAGATGACGATTCAGAAAATATGTCATCTGTTTTAATGCTGGTATTAATCTGCTTATATGTCAGCTCTACACTGCTGGAACTCCAACTAAAAGACTGAAAATTGATCAGTTACATTTTTCAACTGTTTATCATATTTCATGTGCCAGTGCCTTAACATTTCTCTTTAATCTGGCATCATTTAAAAGTGATTTCCGCATCTCCATCATCAGACTATAAGACTGTGTCGGACTTAAATGCACTGAAGCCTATGATATTTAAATTTACCTTTAATGTGAAGCTTGCACATCAGTGCACTCGTACTGCAGTTGTTTCTTTCTAATTAATAATATTAATTGTCATTTATATAAATTCAATAGTAATGGCTCTTGACTTATTTCAGCACCATGGGTGTTGCCATTTATTTATTTATTTTTATTCAGTCTCTGTGGCTAGTTTTTCTGACAATGTTTCAGATTGAAATAAGCACTTTCTCATACAGAGAAAGAATCAAAAGATGCCACATGCAGTTTTGTGTAGCCAACTTATGCAAATGAAAATCAAGCTGAAGGATCACAGTTTTAACAGACTGGGGGAGATCCAGTAACCACTGCAGAGGCACAAATGCAAGGGGGCATGCCAGGACTTTTACTGAATTATCTAATTATCATCTTATACGAGAAGATGATTTTGAAGGCGAAACTGGCCACATTTAAAACGGGTATATATATATATTTTTTTATCTTTAACCACAGTTTGTAAAATCTCGCTGACACAAAATAGACTGTTTGGAAAATTATTCATATAAACGTTGCCTAGCATCTGCTCACACAAGCAGCTGTCCGCAAACATTGCTTTAATTGGCAAGACCTGATTATCTTGTGCAGCAGAAAGAAACCATCACATATCTGACCACACTGCTTTGTGATATGGACACATGGGAAAGCAGAAGCCTTTGTTAAATGACTTTTCAACCTTCAGAGAATAAAATAAGAAGGCTGGTTGATAAATTCACAAACACAGCACATGGGTCCGCTCTTGTTAGGGAACTGAAATGAATGTCATGCAGAGAGGAGATGGCAGAAGTCACCTGGAGAGTGTAGTTAACATTTGATGCAGACAGCAGTTTGACCAACTCAGCAGAATGCTGGAAATGAACATTGGCTGTCAAGAGAACAAAGAGTTGCAATGACAATTTACAATGCAATAACTTTGCACAACAACCATTCACCCCATTATGCAGAGCATTGTTAGGAATTCAGTAAAATAAAAGAAATGCAATTGTTAGACTAACACTTGCAGTTTTTATTTTTCCTTTGCATTCATTTTTATGTTAAATTTGCAAAAAAAGAGTTGTCAGTATGTACTTATTTACAGTTAATTGGGCAGTAAACCCTACTCAATTCTACAGCTACATATCTGCTTCATCATGTTTATCTATTCCCATGCTCACCATCTGCTGTGCCGTGGATAATAAGAAAGTTCAATGGACTTGCAGGTCCTGTGATGTTGCTGAGCAGACTGGAAATCTGCAGGAGACAGTGAACAGTCACCACCCAGTGACAGAATCAGACACAGCTTAACTATATCAGATTTAAATCTAATAAAACAGCTCATAATGTTGAAGCCATTAGCATAAAACTTTGGTTAGAAGACAAGAAACTACATCTTTAAACAGCATCAGTTCCCACTCATAAATATTTATAGCAACTTCTATCAGATGCAACCAAACACAGATGGAAGTGTCAGTAAGCAAGGGTGGATGTACTGAAGTAACAAAACTGTCAAGTGACTGAGCAGCAGAGATCAAAGCTTCCATTAATGAGTTTTAATTTTGCGCTGCCATCAGCAGAACTTTGTACTTTGCTGATCTTAAACAGAAACTTCAGTTGCAAAGGTGAGAGGAGAGGCAGTTTGGACATCTCAAAATCTGTTTGCATCTGGTGGTGCAGTGCTAGAAATACTGCGGAAACAACAGTTTTGATTTTTCTAGTTCAACCAAGACCAGACCAAAACAAACACATTTTTCTTTTAGTGCCTGCAGTGTTATTTATCCATGTAAATTGTTTTTTCATTAAATTTATTAGGCATAATTTAGAAACGCATACACCTGTGTTTATTAGAGCCCATAATTCACACTGCATGACAGAACATAACATGAAACCAGTAAGTCTAAAAAACTCGCTGTGGACTTTGGACTGTGGCAAAGCATAGACCAAAGCACGGCTATAGAAACATATCTAAAACTTTGAGTGGTCTAGGAAGCACAGTGGCCTCAATAACTGCAAAATGAAAGATGATTGAAACTACCAGGTCTTTTAGCTGTTAGAAGGAAGGAAAGAAGGAAGGAAGGAAGGAAAGAAGGAAAGAAGGAAGGAAAGTAGGAATGAAAGAAGGAAAGAAGGAATGAAAGAAGGAAAGAAGGAAAGAAAGAAGGAAAGAAGGAAGGAAAGAAGGAAAGAA